GAGAGAGAGAGAGAGAGAGAGAGAGAGAGAGAGAGAGAGAGATGTTAACATCAAACGTTGTTACTTTTTAAATCTAAGTGCCGAGTAGTAATTGCAGTCATATTGAATAGTGACGTTATAAGCGAGAAATAATACGTTAAAGTTTCTTACATTTGTAAATAAAGAGAATTTGGGTAAAAAAATAATGAGATTGCTTCAAAAGATTTACTTATAAAAATGAGTCGACGAACCTATTCTTATCTGCTGCGACAGTCAGTAAAAGACACTTAAAGTGAAAAAATATTACACGTGCGCATTATGTAAATGCGTTTTTACTAACTGTTTACTGACTATCAGCGGTGCCGTTTTTACAAATATTTTAAAAGATCTTATTATTTTGTTTTACTCAAATTCTTTTTACAAATAGCATGCAAGAAATCAAAGAGGATTAGATAGAGCGGAAGGTTCGCGTATGTCAGAGAGAGTTCGTTGTGATACTTACGTTCCTAATTTCATTTTCAGTGTATGTAAATAGAACAGAATATCTGGTATAACGAAATATGCAGTCGTGTAACTTTAGTATAGAGGTATGAAAATGAGGAATCTCGAATTCGAAATTCGAATTTTGTTCCGTTAATTTTTTACTTATTATTATTGATAAATGCAGCATCAAACTCACAAGATAGCATTGACACTAATATACGTGAAAATATATATTACAATTTCATAAAGACCTTCCGCTCTGTCCAATCCTCTTTACAAGAAACTTCAATATGTCGATTTTCAAATGAAAAGCTGGTATCGACTCTGGGAGTAACATTTTGAATGAGTATGAGTTGATCTGATGTGGAATCTCTATTCCCCGAAGAGACTATATCACTGGATTTTTTTATCCAAAATCATCGCATAATACTGTGATCTTGTGCGTTGGTTCGGAAATCCAAACAAGAGAAATTCAAGAAGAAGAAGAAGAACAAACTTCAATATGTCATTTCTCGCATTTGACGTCATGATCCAATATGGTCGCGGTGACTACTCAGGAGACTTTTACATGTATTTCTAAGGAATAAAAATCTATTTGCATGCGCTAGCATTTATTCACTAAGATAAGTAAATTTTTTACACATCATGTTAAATAATATTTTCAGATAATAATCTGTTCCATTATTTATGTAGAACTTTTAGTCTAATTATTTCCTCTTCTAAGACGATCGTCAGTTGACTGCGATTATTTATATATATATATATATATATATATATATATATATATACGAAATAAAAGAATGATTCCAAATGGAATCGTCGGTCCACAAAGAGTTAATTACTTAAAACTATTTTGAAATATACTATAGAATGAATCGAGTGAATCAATACTAGTGAATCGAAAATTTATTATATAATGTATACACACGGAAAAAAACAG